TATGTACTATAATAAAAATTTAAATTTTTTATAATTATTTCATTAAAAAACTTAAAAATATATCAGTAAATAAGTAAAGATAATAAAAGGGAGAATGGTTTTTAAAAAATTTATTAACAAAATTTTGAGTTGCTTAAAAATAATATCATATTATAAATTAATGTTTTACATTTTTTTAAGATAAGGTAACTCATGAGTTGTTATTATTGGAGATATCCTTATTATTTTCGATAATTAAATTACTGTAAAGATAAAAAATAAGTTTGTAACTCTTATTTCTAATTTTTTGAATGTATTAGATAAGCACTTGTAAAAGAAAAAATACCAAAAAAAATTGTATGTTTATTTCTATTCATTTAAGTTGATTTGTCACTCAAACAAAAGAATATATATGTGTGTGTTCACACAAAGTCAATCGGTAAGAATAGTAAAATAGAATAGGTATGACAATCTATTTTAAAAAAATAATAGAATGGATTGATAGTTTTATTCTTATAAATTTGTTTTTATATGTTACATTTAACTCGGAGTTAAAAATGAAATGAAACAACTTATCTAATTTAAAAAAAATATTTATATATTAAATAAAAATAAAAATAATTATAATTATAATTAAAAGTATTATTTTTATTATCATTTTATTGAAATATGTAAATATATAATAATGTTATAATTTAAATTATAAATATTAACTAATTAAATTTAAATTAAGAATTATAATTAGGTATTTAAATATATATATATATATATTAATTTATTTATTTAATAAAAATATTAATTAATAAATAAAAACTTAAAAATTGAAAGTAATGAGGTGGAGATTGATGGAAATGCCCCTACATTCCCAATAGATAATTTTGATGATGATTCAAGTCAACTACATTCAAGTCAACACAATTCAAGATGAATTAAGGACAAGTCTGAATTTAAGACGTTGGTGACAATGTGAAACATTTCCCTACATGCTCAATATATATTTTTGATAAAGATGATGATTCAAGCAAACCCAAGATAATTTCGAAAACTATATAAAATCTTCGAATACTGGATATGGAGGTACAAGTTGATGAAGTAATATTATGCATAAGCCTCTAAAGCACAAGTGGGATAAAATTCATAACATTATATTTTTCACTCTCATAATCAATTATGTTACATCGGAAATGAAAAAATGTTTTTCTCTGTCATAATTGATTATATTGGTAACATAATCAATTATGTCAATTCAAACTTGAAAAATATATCAGTTTTAAAGAATAAATATTTTTGAATATATCCTGATTTTTATTCACGAAAATATTAACATCCAACGACAATTTGCTTGATGTTATTTTTCTATTTAATTAAGTTTTGATAAAAAATAAAAAACACACAATTACAGAATTCGAAAATACAATTCACATTCAATCAGTTTTGAGAAAAGAATTCTGAGCAGGACAACAAATATATTTTACACCTTCTGAGAAAATCCTATTCTCTACTGTTTTCTCTGTTTTCATTGTTAATCACATTTGTTCTTGGAGATTGGTATTCTACATACTTCTACAATTTGTTGTCTCCATTACCTAGGTGTGACTGTTTTTATCTTACTCCTTTATCCTTTGTGGGTTTAGGAGGTGTTTTCATCCATTTGATTTGTTCAAGGAGATGTTCATTCCTAGTGTGATTCTAGGGAGATGTTCATCCTTAGTGGGATTCTAAGGAGGTGTTTTTATCCCTTTGATTTGTTTAGGGAGGTGTTCATCCCTAGTGTGATTCTAGAAAGATGTTCATCCTTAGTGAGATTCTAAGGAGGTGTTTTTCATCATTTGATTTGTTCAGAGGAGGTGTTCATCCTTAATGGGTTTCTAAGAAAATGATTGTCTTTTTAATTAGTTTATTTTTTACTGGTTCTTCTGCTGAGTTGATTGTAATTTGTAAACTAAATTTGAAAGATTGTGAATTGGGAGTTACTCTTGTGTTAAGAGTTGATTGAGAACTGAATGTATGGTTGACTATACCCGAACCAGTATAAATTACTGGGTGTTCTTCTCTTTCCCTGATCTATTTCTCTCTTCCTGATTATATTATATTTTCCACTTTATTTATGTTCAAACAAATTATTGACTCACAAATAAATTTTTAATTTAACATCTATTTTAATTTGTGCATCTATTCACCCCTCTAAATGTCATTTGTCTAACAAAAATTACTCTTATAATTAAAACTATTTTTAAAAGATATATATAAAATATTTTATATATAAAAAATATTCATATATTTACCCTATATAAAAAAAATATGTATATAAAAAAATATTAATACTTTAAACCAATAATTCTTTGATTGACATGGTAAACTAACTTACCAACTTCATTTTAAGACTCTAAAGACTGTACCGTACAAAACGGGACAACCGATCTGTTTTTCGTATCCGAAGGTTGGAACTGCAAAAAAAAAATATCAATTACAAGGATTAATTTGTTTCTTATCCATGACTACTACTATATAAAAGGGACATCAGGCAAAAAAAACCCGCACTAAATTAAATTATATATATATATATATATATATATATATAATGATAATATTATTATAAGGATATTTAACTTATTATTTATTAATATTTATATCAATAAAAAATTTATTACCATAACTATCATATTATATTTTACTAAAATTGATAAATTTATACAAAACAGATAACAAAAAATTTAAAAGTCAAACATATAAAATTTTAAAGTTTTTAAATTTTGCCTAATAACTTCTACAATTTTTTTTAAAGCAAACAAAATATACATAAACTTAAAAGTTTAACCTATTTTTAAAAACTTATATTAAATATTTTTAAAATAACATAACAATTGTCCAAATTTAACTTCACCATATCTAATTTCAAAAATAAAAATAAAAATATGATAAAATAATATAAAAAAATCTATATTTTACAAGATTTTTAGTTAAGTTATATTATTTTCAAAAAATAATACACAAAGATTCAATACTAAATAACATTATTTATTTAAATAAATTTATAATGTAATGTTTTTAATATTATTTGAAATTTTAAAAATATTTTTTCCATATTTAACTATATATTTTTAATTTACATATAAAAATATATCAAGAAACAATTATACTATGATTTTTTAAACATAATTTCCATAATTTAACTTTTATAAATAATAAAATATAAATATATTTATAAAATATTTTAAAAATATTTTTAATGAATACATAAATTAATTTTTATTTATTTTATTTTTATTCATATTATTAAATAATTAATCATATTAAATCATATTTTAATTTTAATTTATCTTTGTTTTTATTAAAATTATATAAAAAAATATTTAACCATTTCTTAATTTATCTTATTATTTGACTTTTAATCATTATTATCAAGTATAATTTTTTTACTTATTTTTCTTCATGTTTTATTTTCTTTCTTATATAAATAATTTTATTTTTATTTTCTCAAATTTTGTCCACAATCCAAACACAAATAAATATGTCGTGTCTCTCCATTGAAAAATTTTAAGATTTTTATTATGATTTATTTTAAAATATAATATTTTATATTTTTTTAATAAGTTTTAACGAATAAAAAAGCATATTAAAAAATAGCGTGTTTTATACTCGTTTTAACTTTTAAGCTAAGCAGTTAAGTCCAACTGTAATTGTCAGCTTTCAACCTTAGTATATGTAATGGTAAGCACTAGCGCTCAAGTTAAGTCATATTTATTTATTTATTTTAAATTTAGTAATTAAAAAATAGAAAACTTTTTCCCCTGATATCCTGTACTTTTAAAAATATTTTTTCTTTTAATTATTCGTAGATTTAAATTAAATGTATTAATTTTTAAATAGTAATTTTAATAATCAATACCCCAATCTATTGTGTAATTTATTTATGTTTATTTGTTAACTAACTGCTATACATGATTATTTTTGTCAAGTAAATACCCAAAAATTAATATAATTAACTTGTTTTGTTCTTAGTCTACATTATCCTAAAAAGGAATTGAAGAATGATGTTGCATTAATTAATAATGAAATGTGTAGATTTCATTGTCAAGGAAATGACCAAGAAATTAAAACTGAAAAATGCATGCGTAGACTTAATCCGTGGTTTGTGGTGTGGACCGAGCCAAGAACGATGGAGAAGTAATTAATAATTTGAATTACGAGTTTCGTTTTGAGACCCTAATATACGTCATTACACGCTGTCAGAGCAACAATTTCAGCAATTTTATTTTAAGATCAGGCATTTCTTTTAACACTAAAGTTTTGTTTGAGTTAAAACTATTTGTAACTGCCAAATAAAGACTTAATTGTGGTTTTTTAATCAATAAAAGTGTCTACTTAAAAAATTGGTTTATTCCTAACACCTTTTTCTAAATTTGTATAGGTGTAATCAACTAAATCTTCGGTCCATTAAAAGTGTATTTGTACATTGGATCTATGTGTTGACATGACTTAATTTGAATCTAAAATGAGTTAAACATTATTTTCTCACTAACCATTATACTTGTCATTGTGTTGATAATGTAATTTTGTAAGGATTTAAAAACTTAACATTTTTATAAAATATTGTAATAAACAGATCATTTTCAATAACAAAAAAATAAAAAATATTTTGATAAAATATTATATATTCGTGAAGTAAATGAATTAATCTGTCACCAATACACCTTCTGCTCTTCTTGGATTATAAAACGAATACAAACACATTTAATGTATACTTTAACATGTTTAATATAGAAATGTTGAGTAATGTTATTTTCATTTCTAACATTTTGAACACACAAGGTGGTATAATTATATGAGAATTGTATAATTATATATACAAGTTAACGAGGAAAAATATATTTACAAAGGGTATGATTCCATTGGCATGGTAGGAGATAGGACAGGGACGTGTAAAGTAATGTTTTATTTATACACTAAAAGGCATATTTTTGTCAGAGGGATATAATTTCTTAAACAACTCCATTTGACAAGAGTAAAAATGTAAAAGATCAAACAGTGTGAAATTTGGAAGCACATTTTTTCTGTGTTTGTTGCTTGCGTTTCCACGGGACCACTTGCTTAAAGCTTTCATAAATGCTTGCCTGCAGTTGTAAAAATATAATTATATGATGAGATATCAACCTAACCAACTCATTGCCACATGGAAGGATTAAATACCCAAACGGTGCACCCAAAAAAATCTAACCAACCAATAATTACTCACTATTTTTATTGCTAGACAAATCAATTATGCATTTATGCTCATAAATCTGAGTAATTCCGACTCTGCAACATTTCAACCAAGACAAAAACATACCCTCCTTTTTAAGTTTTCTCCTTCAAAATTACCTTTCATCATTGACCTGTATTATGACGAGAGGATGCCCCTAAAATGTTTTCCCTTTTCCAAAAGACAACAATGGCAAGAATATCTGAAAGAAGAAATTACTTTATTATTTAGTGGCACAAGCAACGAGAGTGGTGGTGTTTTTTCTTTGGCCAGGTACTGAAAGTCCTGCTTTCGGTACCCAAATGTTGCTATCGTCTATTGTTAATTTCTCGACTCACAAAAAGTAGCCAAATCTTTCCATTCTTGCGTAAGTGTAGGGTCACTTGGCTTAAGAAAATCAAAGACGAAAAGTATTCTTACAAAACGATATTACCAATTTTTTTTTTTTACAGAGAAAATAAAACACAATAATATATAAGCTTTTGTAGTCAAAGATCACTTTTGTCCATGAAAAAATATGCGCTTCATAATGCATACCTAACATCTTAGCTGGCTCTGCTTTATGCATGTCTGATTTGGATAACATCATTTTATCATGCTACCTTAAAGCTACTAAAAAATGGGAATAGTACAACGGTAGGTTGTTTACACGCACACAAATATATGTATATATATATATATATATATATATATATATATATATATATGTTTTTAAAATTTTGTCGATAATCCATGATTGAAAATGTTTAGAATAACATATACTGAACAAATCAAGAAGTTTGTGGTAAATAATTTCTGAGATGATGGTTGATTTTAGAGTATGGCTTACCCATATGTGTGACCTTTGCTTGGATAGAGTCCAGGAGGATCCTCGTCTGGGAACCCTTGTGATTTTCACGTTAGGCGTGGTAGTAGAGCAGTCAGGTGAAAAGTCAAAACTACCCTCAGAGTCGTCGGTGGTAATCTTCTTGTAACCGCTCCACCTGGAGGACCCAAAGTTGGAATTGCAGTAGCCCCTGGGAGTCCTATAGGAGGTTGTGAAGGACATGGCCCGGCCCACGTAAGGCCCATCCAACACGGTTGTAGGGGAAGGCCCATCCAACAAAAACAACAACCTCGGCGGAAGCTCCAAGGTTCTTTTAACACCGTCGTCGGGCTCCGATTCGGTGTGGCAATGTCTAGGCTTCCCCGGTGCTTCCTCCCACTTGAAAGGAACCGAAATCGTGGTCTGCGGCGGCGACGAGGGCGGAGGAGGAGGAGGAGGAGTCTCGGCAGCCGTGGTCGGGCGTGAGATTAAGAGCGGGAGCTTTGTCGGCGTGTAGGTTGGTTCGTGAACATGATCACACTTCTTGTCTGAGTCTGACTCCATCATTGGTTGTCGTCAATGATTCTCTCTCTATGACTAAAACGGTGGAGGTAGCTAACTAGCGTAGTGGTAGGGGCATCTTATGATGATGCGGTAGTGAAGTGGGTGGGTGTGGTTTTATAGAGATGGAAACGTGTGAGTGAGTTAATTGGTAGAAAGAGAGAAAAAGGGGTGGTGATGAATGACTGTGTTGAGTGTTCATTGTGGTTGTTATGTAGAAGTAGAAGAAGTGTAATGTGGTCCTTTGAAAAGTCATGGAGATGACATAAATTACGTGTGTTTGGTTTGTGGTGGTCGAGACGAGAGTCGTAGAAAGGAAATGAACAAGTCGCACTCTACTCTACCCCAGTTATAGGGTAACCGCAGGTACGACTAGATACAAATTTTCACTCTCTTTCGATATTACATTCATTCACACATTTTGAACCCTTTCAATAAGTTAATTCATCAAATATTGGCGACTATTATCTGTTTGGTGAATGAATTCTATGAACAATATATAAATTAATTTGCTCAAATAACAACATATTACAATCAATTACAACATTCCTAAATTACATCCAATCAAATTTATGTCTTTTCTTTTAATATCATCGTATTATTGTTGTACCTGCTTCATAACATGAGATGATTAATATATAACTTATTACAAGTAGCACGTAAAAGAAATATTTATTATAATTAAAACATGCTACATTATTAAGAAACCACTGGATCAAATCATCATTCATATTGATCTATTTATTTTTCAATTATTTTAAAATGTAGATAGAAGTTCCACTTTTTATATCTTTTCTTTCTAGCTACAAGGAAGGTGAAGTGGAGAACTTGTTTATTATATTTTATACATTTTAGAAACACAACCGATTTTTTATTTTTTATTTCTTAATGTGCATGCAGAGTGTAGTGGCATTATAATGACACAAGCTTGTCGAAATGAAATGGCCACGAGCAGAGTCAAAGAAAAGTACATGTCTTTATGATGAAGTATAAATAAAAAATAAAAAAAGGAAACCATTCATGAAAATGAAAGAAAAAAGAACAAATAAAAATTTATGCAAATTATTCATTTTATTTGAGAGCTGTAAAGGAGTTTTTGAATTTGTTATTGTTGATCCCGATAATCTTTTGAGGTCATTTTCTAAATAATTAACATACCTGATGAAAGCTTTTAAATGTCAATTTATATATATATATACACACACGTACATATTTCTAAATTATTCTTTAACAATTAAAATATTGATCCCGAAGGTACGTAATATAGACACTAGCCACCTAGGAAAAAAGTTGTTTGAAGAAAAGGAAATAGTTGGAGTCAGAAAAGTTGAAACAAAAAAAAAAGCAAAAGGAAGGGATAAGAGAATACCAACGCACTAATACTATACCTTTTTCACATCTTGTTGTTTAGCATCGTTTTTATTTTCTATCTTTTATATATATTAAGCAACATGTTATCTTTCAAAATAAAGTAGCATGATAAAAAAAAATTATCAACTATATAAAAACTTGTGATTTAATTTATTAAAAAAAATCATTTGGTTGAATTGATCTTTTCTAACAAAGTTATTAAAATTTTCGTTTTATAAATCTGACATCAGTGCAAAACAATAAGATATTTGAACATTCCAATGATTAATGAACTTTTATTTATTTATATATTATTATATTTGAATTAAGACTTAATCCTAAACTAAATACAATATTTGAATCTTATAAAACGAAGAATGGGATGGGAGCAGAAATCCATTTTTATTGTGAAATATGGAAATAACAAGAAATAAAATGAGATCCCTAACCACCTTATTGTTATGACTTATTATTAGATCAAAAATTATAATATTTAATTAAAGTGTAACTCTTCTTATTTAAGAATAATCATCTAAATGCTACAAGATATATAAGATAATTGATGTTACCTGGTTATTATTACTCATTGATTATAATAATTTAAATACAAATTCCAATATCATCTATCTACTTAAAAAATAGGATCATCGTACCAGTAGTTCAATCCATATAATTACAATTAATTTAGAAATTGGTTTGTTACTTTTAAATAATTAGATTTTAATTAAATTAAAATAAAATTAGTTAAAAAATTTATGAAATTAATTTTAATAAAAAATATAATATATATTTTTTTAATTTTATAATTATATTAATTTTAATAATTATTATTTTATTATTATTTTATCTTATTTTAATAATTATTTATTTTATATTTTTTAATTTATTTTATATTTATAAATTTTATTACAATTTTCTGTGATAATGTAACTTTATTATTTTTCTTTTTTCAATAAAAAATATTATTAATTTATATATTTATTATATTATAAAAATATTATGTTATTAGATTCGATTGAAGTTAATTAAATTTTAAATCTTAAATCATGTATTTAGTAATCAAGTAATTGGTTTAATTTTAAAAACATTATATATTTAATTAAATTTTAAAAAATTGATTTAAAATATAGTACTATATCCATAATAATAACAATAATAATAATAATATTATATTTTTAGTTAATATGAAATTTTATTATATTTTTTAAATTACATATATATAATATTAATTTTATTAAAATCTTTTTATTAGGATAAATCATATATATAATTGTTGAATATAGAGGAAATATGATTTGAGATTAATCTCCCTTGTGTATAAATCACACAGGGTAATTTATTTATAATAGATAGCACTAGTGCAAAAAAGGCTTTTTATGTCGGTTAAAATGAGCTTTTTACGCTCGGTTAAAGAGGCGACATAGATACAGGGGTCATAGAAAGTATGACTTTTTACGTCGGTTGTGATGAACCGTCATAGAAAGTATGACTTTTTACGTCGGTTGTGATGAACCGACATAGAAAGTAATGGACTTTTTACGAAAATTGTTACTTGGTAGGATTCAAACCCAAGTGCATTAGAGTCTAGAATTAGACCAACCACTACACTAATACGATTTTTATTTATTCATTCATATTATATTTTTATTATACTTTATAATATATTATTTTATTATCTCGTTAAGAGATCCGTATCTAACAAGATTCGAACCCAAGTACCTTAGAGTTGGAGACCGATACTCCAACCACTAAACTACTACAAATTTCTTATACATAACTTACAAATAAATTATATTTATATACAAAATATATAAATACAAATATATTTATATATTTTGATATATAAATATTTATATACTTATATATTTAATTTTTTTATTTAATATACACTTTCTATGTCGGTTAAATTTCAACCGACATAGAAAGTACTTTTTATGTCTGTTAAAAATTTAATCGACATAAAAAGTACTTTCTATGTCGGTTAAAATTTAACCGACATAGAAAGTTCACTTTCTATGTCGGGTAAAACTTAACCGACATAGAAAGTTCACTTTCTATGTCGGGTAAATTATAACCGACATAGAAAGTTCACTTTCTATGTCGGTTAAATTTTAACCGACATAGAAAGTGATATTTCCACTTACTATGTCGGTTAAAATTTACCCGACATAGAAAGTTTATGATTTAATTACAAAATTGTCACCGCGCTACATACTATGACGAGTGGACTACGACCGTGATAAAAACTCGTCATAGAATGCTATTTTTCCACTAGTGTAGGTACAAATAAAAGAGTAACCAAAAGTAAACAAAATAAACAGAAGATATTGTTTGATATTGTGGTTAACAATATCTAACACTCCCCTCAAGCTGGAGCATACAAATCGTATGTGTCAAGCTTGTTACAAATATAATCAATTCTAGACCCCCGTAAAGACTTAGTAAAAATATCTGCTAACTGATCACTTGAGTTAACAAACTCAGTCTTGACGTCTCTAGACATAATCTTTTCTCAAATGAAATAACAGTCAATCTCAATGTGTTTAGTCCTCTCATAAAAGACAGTATTAAAATTAATATGAAGAGCAGCCTGATTGTCACACACAAGTGTCATTTGAGTGACATCTCCAAATTGTAACTCTTTAAGCAATTACTTGAGTCAAACAAGTTCACAGGAAGCTGAAGTCATAACTCTATATTCTGCTTCTGCACTGGATCTTGCCACAACACTTTGTTTCTTGCTTTTCCACGAAATCAAGTTAACACCAATAGAGACACAATATTCATATGTATATCTTCTATCCGAAGGAGATCTTGCCTAATCAGCATCTGAGTAGCAAACAACTTTTGTATGGTTACTAGAACTATATAATAAACTTTTTCCAGGAGATCCTTTAATATACTTCAAGATACGAATGAATGCATTCCAATGATCTTCACATGGGGAATTAAAAAATTGGCTTACTACACTGACTGCAAAGGAAATGTCAGGACGAGTAACGGTAAGATAATTTAATTTTTCAACCAATCTTCTATACTGCTCAGGATCAGATGTAGGCTCCGCCTGATTTGGTAGAAGTTTAGTATTAGGATCCATGGTTGTATCAACAGACTTTGAACTCATCAACCCAGTTTCCTCTAAAATATCCATGGCATACTTCCTCTGAGATATAACAATACCATCATTGGACGGTGTCACCTCAATACCCAAGAAATATCTAAGTTTGTCAAGATCTTTGGTCTGAAAATGGTGACATAGATGTTGTTTCAACTGAGAAATGTCATGGTTGTCACTAACTATAAGAACGATGTCATCAACATATACTATCAAGTAAACACATCCAACACTCGAGTGTCGATAAAAGACAGAATAATCTGCTTCACATCGAGTCATACCAAATTATTGAACAACCTTACTAAACTTTCCAAACCAGGTCCTAGGAGATTGTTTTAGGCCATATAGGGATTTGCAAAGACGACATACCATCCCAAAAGACTCCCCCTGGGCAACAAACCCAGGAGGTTGCTCCATATAGATTTCTTCTTGCAAATCACCATTGAGGAAAACATTTTTAACATCCAGTTGATAAAGATGTCATTGTTGAAGAACGACCATGGCGATAAATAAACGAACAAAAGCCATTTTCGCCACGGGGAAAAAGGTACTTCCATAATCCAACCCAAAAATTTGAGTATAACCTTTGGCCACAAGACGAGCTTTGAGGCGATCAATAATACCATCAGGTCCAATTTTGATAGCAAACACCCACCTACAACCAACAATGGATTTTCCAGACGGTAAAGTGACCAATTCCCAAGTTCCACTATTATGAAAAGCACTTAGTTCATCTAACATAGCCTGAAGCCAACTAGGATGGGCTAAATCACAGACAGTTTTTGGAATGGTTACAAAAGAAATAAAGGAAAGACATGTATAAAAAGGTAATAAAGATCGATGATAACTCAAAGCAATATAATGGGGAGAGGGATTACGTGTAGAACAGATACCTTTTCGGAGGACAATGGTAAGGTTAGACTCATGTGTCAGATCCAGAGGAGACAGAGTAGTTGACACTTGAGTGAAGTCACATGGTGGTAGAGAAGAAGCTAATTGCGGAATAGGAACTAATGGTGAAGAAGACATAGTTAGAGGGTCACACACAACAGAAACATTAAATGTACTAGGAGTGTTGACAAGATTGGATGGTGATAGAGGTGAAGATTGACTAAAAGACAGATAAGGTAATCTATTTATAATAGAGAGAAGTACAACTAAAAGAGTAACCGAAAGTAAACAAAATAAACGAAGATATTGTTTGATATTGTGGTTAACAATATCTAACAATAATAATTAAAAATTTAAATATATATTAAAATTATACGTTAATTAAAAATGAGAAAAAATAAAAAATTTAAATAAAAAATTATATCAAAATAAAAATTAAGAATAAAATTATAGTTTTTATACGAATGATAATATTTTTTATATTAATGGGAGGAGATATGTATCGATAATTTATGCATAAGATTTGAGAGAAGAGTAGTATAATAGGAGGGGTAGATAGAAGATGTAGTATGTTGGGAATTACTTTATTATCTTTTATTTAAATTAGGTATTAAGAGATTTTATTATCTTTTAAGAGAGAAGGTAAAAAGACATTAGGTTATTATTTTGATTTAGGAAGTTATGATTGAGATATTATTGATATTTGATATTTTGTAATATTTTTACTCTATATATACATAAAGTACATGAATAAAAATATACTCATATGATATATCAGAAATACATATACACAAAACCCTAAAAATTTTCAACAAATTGATATCAAATCTTTGGTTCGATACAATGGAAGGAGAAAGAAAATTTTCACAAGTCGTTATTCCAGTTTTTGATGGCGAAAGTTATGACTTATGGGCTGTGAGAATGCAATCCTATCTTGAAGGATTGGATGTATGAGAAGCTGTAAAAGAATATTATATTGTTGATCCACTACCTGAAAATCTCACCATAGCTGAAATGAAATTTCACAGAGAAAGAAAAAGGAGGAAGGCAAAAGCTAAATCATGTTTGGTTGCTGGTGTTTCACAAATGATCCTCACCAGAATCATGACGCTAAAGTCACCTAAAGAAATTTGGGATTATTTGAAAGATCAATATAAATGGATGAGAAAATTCGAATTATGAAAGTTCTAAACTTGATAAGGGAATTTGAGATACAAAAGATGCAAGAGTCTCAAACAATTAATGAATACTCAAACAAATTGTTAGATATTGTTAACAAAATAAAATTGTTAGGCAATGAATTTTCTGATTCTAGAATAGTTGAAAAAATTCTGGTAACTGTGCCAGAGAGATATGAAACATCTATTGCTTAAGTGGAAAATACAAAAGATTTGTCTAATATTACTTTGACAGAAGTGCTACATATTTTACAAGCGCAAGAGCAACGAAGATTGATGATAGGAGATCATGCTGCTGGTGAAGGTTCTTTACTATATCATGATGAAGGTTCTGTCCAAGTCAAGAACAACAAATGTACAAAATCACAAGTATTTTTTGTTTATCCTTATTGCAAGAAAAATAATCACACACCCAACATCGTTCATCTTCTTCAGAACTTAAAATCGGGAACCAAAGCACAACCACTTCTGTTGCACACACAGGAAACATGCCTATTGATTCATGCTCATGATGACAACCAACCTCATCGTCTCCACTCTCTTCCAATCTCATGCTGCTCTGGATATATATGCATCAATGGTTATATGATTTGAAAACTTCTTATGCCACAAATTTAAATTATTTGGATACAATAATATTTAATATGATCTAAGATTGTCATAGTTTGAAACTGTATTTATTATAATAATATTATCAAAGTTAATTCTCGCGTTTTAAATATTATTTTTATAAATTATTATTGTTCTAAACAATTAAAAACTCATAAATATTAATTCTTAACATATCGTGAATTATTTTTAAGTATTTTAAAAGACTATTTATAGATGTTATTAATATTATTATTATTATTTTCAAACATTAAATATCCATTTATCGAGAACATAAAAATAGTTAAATTTAAATAATAATATTAAAAACTTAATTTTTATTGTCGAAATACTCATATAAATTAATTAGTAGTTATTTAATGACACAACTTATAAGAGTTATTTTTTTAACTGATATAAGATTAGTATTGTTAATAGTTCAATAAATACGTTAACTTTTACGAAAATTTAATAAGTATTTTATTGATAGACTTTATAATAAATTAAGAGTATAAAAGAATACAGTTTAATATATTTAAAATTGAGTTTATTTTATTTTATTTATATATTAGATAACCGAACAAGTACACTACGAACATATATCTCACTGGTTGAATATTAGAAATACAATTTTTTAATTTATTCTAATTTTTTTATTATTAATGAAAATTATGAATATGATGATTCATCACGTAAAAAGTAAAATATACGTTTAAGGATTTATTTCTTTATCTCATTCATATATTACTCACCAGAAAGTTTTGTACTCTAATCAAAATATGAAAGTAGCTAAATTATAATCAGAGAGTTGGTGAGGAGAATAAGAAACTCTTTATTTATTGTTTTTAAAAATAATTTTTAATGTTAAAAGTTATAAAGTTATTTAATAATTGTTGTATTAAATAATTCTTAAAAAATATTTTTGTTTTTTATTGATGAAAGATGTTTCTTTTATAGCTTTTTATTAATAAGTATCAATGTTTTATTTAATAATTAAATTAATTCACTTATTTTTATTTTTATAAAATTATCAAAATTATTTTTCAATTTTACATGATTTCTGATCATTATGTCATGTTTTTTTGTTTAAAATAATTTTTAAAAATTCATCGTTAAAACTGGTTTTTTAAAATAAAAAAAATGAAATACAAATTATAAAAATTTGAAAACACCCACTACCTTAAATTCTCTGTTTTTTTTTTCTTTCCTCTCAAAATAATTATTGCTTTTTTTTCCTTCGCAGTGGCACAGTAAAAACAGAGAAACATTGTATGTAACGATAATAAAGAAAAAAAGAGAGATTTAGCTGAAGTGATAAGCCACTTAAACAGGACAAAACAAGGGAAAAAAATAATAATCTACCAAGCACTTATTAAGGAAACTTTTATTCTACTTATTCGTGAATTAGTGTATTCAAGAAATAACTTTGATTAAATCATATAAATCCTAAACCCTAAATAAAATATTGTAATATTTCTGAAGTGATTACGAATTGCTTCGAATATTTTAGTTATGTGGTTTACGAGTCCAGGAAGATAATTTTTAGGGTTCATCCAATCGACAGTGGCCCAATAAAGTTGTATTGAGAACACGTCTCTTCCACACTTTCACGACCCCAAAACGAAACTGAATATTATGGATGAGCACAAAATATAAAAGCAATTCCGTCACTAAACGGTATGGACAATAAAAATTGGTGCTTGCACTTTTTCTGTTCTTTTTGTGTTTGTACTTTTCTTCTATTTTTCGTATCCAATTTCAAAGCTAGAGGAGTTTATGCTTTCCTTCTACCTTTTCAATTAATGAGAAAAAAAAATAAACCTATTATAAATTTGACATAAATTAAATATATAAATAGAATAAAAAATTTATCTTACTAACTAATTATATAATATTATATTAAATTTAGAAAACATTGTCATAATATTAATCATCACCAATGATATTTCAAAAAAAAAAATCATATAAATCATAGTCATAATATTCCAATATTTCACATATGGTGCATTCAAAGTGAAAAGGCTCACCATTTTTGTTATTTCTCCAAGCAAATATATATATATATATATATATATATATATATATATATATATATATATATATATATATATTTTTTTTTTAATCTTTCTGAGAGTGGACGTGCCAGTGGCATAATTATTGGTAGGTGTATCTGGTGGAGTATGTTATTAATGAGAATATGAAAATTTTGAAATAAAACAAAGAACATTAAACTTTTCATTAATTTATCCAACCTAACAAACAAAACAAATAATTATTTAACGCCCTAAGATAAGGAAAATACATTGTTTAGTTTGATTGTTTCTTGATTGGGGTATGCTATGCCCTGTCACCTTTTAATATGGTGGGTCTCTGAGTTGGTTCAAGTCAACTTATGGAGACAGGAAAAATCATGGAAGTTTCAATTCCATTGGAATCTTTGTGTGAGATCCATATACAAATTTGTGTTATTAACTAGAGTAATAGGTATAGTATAGACAAATAAACACATAAAGGCCAATCTATGCCACAGGAGTTCGTTGTTACCTTCTCAAACATGTCATTCCTTCACGAGCTAGTGTTCCCTCAAGGTCTCCTATAATTCTAGATGTCCTAACTTCTAGACCTCTTTGAACTTCATGGAACAGATTTCTAATGCTGTCGGCAAACCTGTTCATGTCTATGCCTGAACTTTTCTCCATCTCTTCTGCCACCCCAACAAAGCCAGAAACAATTTTGGACTGAATTTCCATCCATTTTTGTCCAGTTGCAACTATGTACCTCTGTAATTGAAATGTCTCCTCTAGGAAGTGCTCCAGGGTTGAAGTTTTCTCCTTTGCTCTTGCACCATTCACATCTCCACGGTTTGCATAGAGGTCATTCCCGTGCTGAAATAATGGGCAAGAAATGATTGATTGATGCTCAGTTTTGCAATGCCAAATGGGGTTGGACGCTAGAATTTAGATAGCAGTTAATGCATCATTTCTCCATTTTTTTACATCATAAATGGGAATTAAAAAGATCACATAGACAAAAAAGATTATTGTGAGCACGCTGTCTGTCCATGGACTGTATTGTCAACCAAAAAATAATAATAGAACTGTACAAAAATAAGGCTTACCATCCGTTTGCAAAGATCATCTGTCTTCTCTTGGAGGGACTGATATCTTCCAACTTGTTTGTTTAGCAAAGTAGTCAAGGACAGGTATGCCTTCATACCAGCTTTGCTATCATCAGTAATTTCTGCTTGTTCTTCATTGGCTTGCTTTCCTGTTAACCTTTCAACAAGAACAAGTTGCTGCTTCAGCCTCTTGATCTTGTAAGATATTCCAAGAGCATGAAGATCCATCCTCCATAGGGAATGCTTTGTTGTACTGGGGGTCTGGCTGGTAGATGCTATCTTTTCAGAAGCATCAGCGTCTACTTTATTTGGACTTTGGTTTTGCATAGGAGTACGACTATCCTCCCTAGAAACACCTTTTTCTTCTTCGATCTCATTTTCTGGAGATTGAACCAGTAAATTAGCACTGTTAAGCTGATCATCGGGCAGACAGTGTACTTCCTTCTCACAGTCTTCCTCAACTAAAGTTTCCATCATTTCTAGCACTTTTTCACCTGGTTTTCTCTTGACAACCTTGACTCTTGACCAGACAGCATCTTGGGCTAGTTCTGAAGATTGTGGAGCCAAATTTGAGTTACTTTTTAAGGGCCTCAATTTTGATACGAATTGCTCTTTCAGGGAAGTCAGTTCATCTTCTCTCTCCAACAGTAGGGTCTCCAATCTCATCTTGTCATGTCTTAGCTGTGTCACATCCTTAACCAGCCCCTCCACATGTGCCTGCATCTGTTTCATTTCTAACCCTGTTCTCAACAACTGCCAGCGAAACGCCTCTACTTTCTCGTCTTTGAGTTGCATTTGTTCAGCAAAAGCATCTAGCTCTAAATGATGCCTCTGTTTAATCAAGGTTGCATACCTTTCTGCCTCAGCTCGCATCCAATCTTCCAAACGCTTAGCATTAGCAGGAATGGCTGAACACCAAATGATAGGAGAAAGGGTCAAGGAAACTCTGTACACTAACAACGAATAAAATCAGATACAAAATAACTTTGAAGAATTTAATCTTACACAAGTCTCCATTTCTTTGCTGCAAATAGTGATCAGGAAAGGGGGAAAGTTGGTCTGGTTCATTTTCAATGTGTGAGGACCCTGTGGAATTATGCTGCATACCTCTAGCACTAGGGAAAACATCCATCCTTGAGCTTAAGTTCACCAACATGCTTTTTAAGGAATGTCTTTCATGTTTTCCTTCTGAAACTGCTTTCCACCGCTGTGTCTCCTGCTCAGCTTGCTTCCTCCTAGCTTTTGATAACTTAACCTCCTTTAACAGCATTTGCTTTTCTGCAGTGTCCAGTTTAGACTTCCTCAACATAGCTGATAAAATTTTATCCTTCTGTTCCAAATCTTTGTGAAACTTTGCCATCTCCAAAGATAACTTCTGGACCATCAAATCTGATTCCTCCTTCTTCTCTACTACAGAAGCAAGTTCTTGTTTAGTAGCTTCCACTTGCTTAACTTGGCGACCAAGTTCAGCCTCGAGCTGTCTTTGGTTTGACACCAGCTCAATGAAGGCAGTTTTGTGCTTCCTGAGATCAGAAGAATGCTCTTGAGCTTCACGCCTAGCAGATTCTCTCATTTCTTCAGCATCCCTTTCAACCTTGTTCAGTTTTTCTTCTAGTTCTTTCCTCTTCTGCTCCTCTTGTTCCATCTCCTTGTCTCTTGACTCCACCAAGGCTTCCATGTCCTTCAATTTCTGATTCAAATCAGAGATAGCAGCATCCTTGTTTCTCTCAAAAACTCTCAACTCACTCAGTAGAGCCCCAATCTGCTGGCGGAGTCTCCTCCTTTCACTTAACCAGCTTTGCTCTTGTGCTGCAAAGATTCCCACAACTTTCTCATTGGCCTTGGCATCCTCATGCCTCATCCTCTTCAAATTCTCAATTTCTCTCTCAGCACATTTGAGTCTGCACTCTCCCCCAACTGGCATTCCTTTCTGAAGCTTCCACACGACCAACCCCAAGAGCTGAGCACTCCCTTGAAGCATGGTGTCGCGGATTTTAGACCATCTCTCAACTTCAACTTGTGGTACTTCTGCGAGGACCTGGAGCGCAAAGAATGCACAAGAAACACCAAAATACATGGGATACATGCTTTCAGTGTCACTCTTGTTGTCACACCCAACTCTATCCAAAACAGAAATTTCCTTCTCACCCATTCCTGTGAGATCGGATTCTCTGGCACCTCTGCAACTGAAAACCAAAAGTTAAAAAACAAAAAGCCAGCAAACTGAAGTCCCACATTACCTTACAACTCACATGATTCAGACCACATATATGGGGAAAAGCACAAACCCACTTCTGAGAAAACAGATCACAAAATGATTCAATAATTGGGAACCAACTAGGCTTAGTACATTGCCAGTGCAATAATTGAGGAACAGCAATACCCGGTGAAATTGATGGGTGCAGAATGTGACTAAAGCAACAGTTTCCTTAAAAAAACATTCAACAACTTACACTTCCACTGCTGCACCTCACATCCACGAAAAAAAAAACAAGCCGGTGAAGCAGAAACTGCAGCTAGGGAAAAAGTATCCCAATGGACAATTTAACTCCACCCGTCACACCAAACAGCAACGCTCATGTAACTGATGTGAAAGGTATCTTCTAAAAGAGGGCCATAGAAATGCATAAAAGATGGCCTCTTACACGTGTAACACTGCACATTCTGTTGAAAAAGGGCACTCTTCTACTCTACACTGAATAGAAAGAAAACTATGAATTGTGCTCCCTGGTTTTCAGTGAAACACTGCCCTATATCAACCCCACATGCTCCTCCCTTTCTTTTATTTTAATTTCTCCTTTCTTCTCCTCCTACCACCACCAACCCCCCACTGTTCACACTCCTTTCTCTCTGCCTAAGGCCTTAACCATTTTAACAAGCAAAAGCACTAGATTCCTGGATGCTTGTCACCATTAATTGCAAGAGAGAGAAAATCAGCAACAAAAAGAATTGATATCCAAAATCAATTGGCGTATAGAATATTCAACAAAATCAGAGTTGCTTACCTGTCTATTGATGATCAAAATACACAATAATAATAATAAATTTGAAAACCCAGAGGTTAAAAAGGAGATAAAAAATTGAAATAAATAAACCAGCACAAGCAGTATATATTTGAAAGTACATGAAAGCAGCTACACAAAACATATATTTTTCAATTTCCCTACTTCGTATATGTATACAACTAACACAAGTTGAGAAGATGTAGGGGTTGCTTTGTAACGTGGTTTACCCAATTTGAAAAATCGGTCCCTGTCATGATTGGTGGTATATGGTTTAAAAACAACAATACAAACAAACGAATTAACAACTTCTCCTGGACCACCTATGTATCTTATCCGCGAATTAATCCCACGATTACTGGCGAATTGTTTGCATCCATATAAATATAATACCTTCACAAGTTAGGAATTTCAAATATCTTCTTCACCAATTCTACAATCTCAGATCCTTCATAGTTGTGGGGCAAAAACTATATAAGTCGCCATCAGTACACATTTCCAAGCAATAAAGGTGTTAAAGGGTCATCATGAACCCCAAATGCACTAGAAGGATATGCTTCTCATTAACTTGTTTCCTTTTCAAAATAGAGATCTGTAAAAACTGCACCCTTTTAAACAAAACCTATACAACAACAAACTAAATTAATCATCAATGTCAGAATCATGTATGTTATTAATATTAATACATAGCAAAACAATTGAGTAAAAACAGAACTTCTATAGCATTTTATGGTTAATATATGTTTTTTATTTTATGTAATTCATTATAAATAGTTACTATTATATTTTCCATTTTGATTTTTGAGTCATAACCATTTTCCCAACTTGAAGCAATTGATTTTTAATGATTATTCAATAATTAATAGGAGAGTCAGCCAGACATAAGTATCATGAAGATTTATTTTTATTGGAATCAAAAGGAACGACAATGATAGTTTTTCATAGCTAATATCATATCTTGTGTCATACTTTTGCCTTTATTATTGACCTAAGGATGACTCATTGAACTTTATGCAGTTTCTATATAAAATTATAAATGTTTTGCAATTTCGAAAACTCAAGATCTGTCATTGGAGTGTGAACTCCGCAATAATGGCTTCGAATTATCCAATATATTAATTTTAGAATTTTTTTATTTTTATTTTAATATTAAAACTTCAAAGATAAGGAGATTGTAGAGGCTACAGGTTGATGTGATATATAACCACCTTACTGAGTACAAGAGTATAAGTACGACAACGAAGTGTGAGAAAATATTGATCTTAGAAGAAGAAAATCGTAGCCTTTGATCCCACCACGGATCTCGAAATTTTGGTGATGCTTATATTGGGCCCATGCTAATTGATACGATTCATACCAAAGTAGCAGTATTGCATGGTGATGAGTGAATGTGCAAATATATAAATAAGCTTTTCATCATATCATATCATATCAAAACTCCCCAAGGAGAGAAGAAGAATTATTAGAAACTGTTTCTCTCTTCTCTGGTTATTTTTTCTTCTCTGTATTTATTAGAGACAGATTTTGGGTTGAAAAGAACTCCTCACCGGTTAAAAAATCTTAAAATCATTGTACTGCAAAAGTATAAGCTAACATTCCTTTTCTAATATCCTTGTACACTAACAAAATAAATGCTGATGCATATTGAACAAAATACGCAAATCTTTGTGCACGCTTGTAGAGGAATGATTAAACAGATAACTATTGAAGCAAAAACTTGAAAATACCATTATTCTATTAACCTGTAGAGGAATGCATACACATTTCCTGTACACATATGTAGACCAATAGATAGCAATAAAAATTTCATTGCCATCTCGCTGTTGTTCAAAGCGGATTTTCTTGAATAACCTACAATCAAGTCAGAACAAATTTTGGCTTAGGGTAAAATATATATATTTTATCCTTGTAAAAAACAGTTCAATACGAGTTAAAATGGTTTTTATAAAATTTGTTGGGATAATTTAATTCCTGTAAAATATAATCATAATAATATTTTACGTCTAATTTTTAATTCTATTAAATTCTATTAAAAAAAACATACACGTGATAAAAGGAATTCCTGACGGGGTAATATACATGTAGTTTTACGTATTTTATGTTTATATATATATATATATATATATATATATATATATATATATATATATATATATATATATATATATATATATATATTATGTATATGTATTTTACTCTCCATTTATTCTTCTAACCTTCATATACTTTTGTGCCCTAAATTTTCTCATTTCTAAAGAAGAGCAAAGGCAAGCAATAGTATATTGTCAATGTGAATCCCGTTTTCCTTAAGACAGTTAATCGACTTTTTCAAATCGTGATTTAAGAACTGATAATATCTTCATTGCCATATTACAATAAAAATAAGAGACTCCAGATACGTTAAAACCCTCCAGACAAACTAAATTCAAAAACTCTAACAAACATGTTCCGAACGCATAATACATTTCAATTTTAACATTAACAAACTAGTATCAGAAATTCTGCTAAACTAAAATCAGGAAAGTGTGGAAAATGATAAAATAATTAATGAAAATAAGTGTATATATTCTAACAAAGAAAACAATATTAAATCTGACAAAAAAATATGGAACAGGTTAAATCAACGTTATAAGAATAGAAATAGAGGATCATGACGAGATAGGACGAGAGAATATTAGTCTTCGTTCAGGATATTGAAAGGATAGTTGGGGATGGGAGAAGAGAGGGTGTAATTGCAGAGTTTGTTTCTCTTACTCACTTTCCACTCATAATTCCTACTATCATACCCCCTTCTGAAAATGGTTAGGCTCTGATACCATTTCGGGCAGAGACCCCTTCTTATCCAGACTATATGAACATACTCGGGCATAACGGCGCCATCCCTCGGCTAAAAGCCCACTCAAGTTCATATTTCTTATAAGAAGAGCACTCTGAAATAAAATGGTTTCATAGATCGGAAGCTTTCGATACACGGGATCCTCTTTCGAGGCAAGTGTAGAGCATACTTGCATCTAAGTGGGGAACGATACTAAGAATTATAAGCTTCAAGCTTTCGAGAAGAGAAAACTTAGAGAGAAAGCATTTTAAAGAGAACTTGTATTGATTTCATTTGATTGAACTCTGCCTTCAACATTACAAGTATCCCTTATTTATAGCGAAAACAAACACACGGAATTCAAAGCTTCGCTAAACTAAAATGAAATTCGGACCCGAAACTTATCATACAAGGTGGAATCTGAAGTCAATTATTCAAACTATGGCCCACACATCATAATGGCCTTACAAAGGAAAAAACACCATGATTCATACTTTATTTAAAGTCATACGTATGGACAAAGATAAGATAAGATTCGAAAATGATGTCTTATCTCTTCATGGAAAGTAAAGTTGATCCAGACTTATCTTCATTAACACGTTTGCGGTAAACGCAATAGACACGTGTAAAGATAAGGGAATCTTGCTTTAGTAGCATGTCAGAATGACAGCCATTAACTAAAGCCTTTACTTTAGTCAGATCGGGTGGAGCACGAGTAGTTCATCTGTTGTGCTTCACTCCTTGTCATGCTTCCATGTAATGGGTCCCGATAAGGGTACATCTTTTTATGCATTAATATTTCTTCCATCAGATCTTCGTTGATATCTTCCGCTAGATCTTCAACTTTCCGGAAGTCTTCATCTGGGACGTTCATCTCTCGCTCTTCTTATCTCTTGGGATTTGTCTTCTTCCGGAGTGATTTGATTCAACTGGTATGTGTCGGATGGTCTCGGGATGAGTCGGCAATGTTGGGATCTACTGGCTTTGGTTGATAATGATTTATTTCACAAAGGTGATGCGCCGAGTTGTGCACGTAAGCATCGTTATCAAGTGGATAGGTGTCAAAGCTAGCCCATAGGTAAGCTTCATTTTTTGACCAAAGGGTTCCAGCTGGATTCATGAAGTATGGACGGTGGATGATGAAGATAGATGTCAAATTCTTGAGAGAGTCTTCAGTAACTCCTTTCTGCTTTTGACGGTCTATGATCTCCTTAAGCTGTTGTCTCCACCAGGGTATTGGAGAAAACCATTCGAGCAATGTCCAAAAAAGGAATTTGTCTTTATACGGATGTGTCAAAATATTGTAAGCTGTTTGAGCCTTTAATGCAATAGGAATGGAGTATTGAACTGTATCGCACCAAATGGTCCAAAGGGTAGGCTCACAAAAGTCCCAACCATGTTCACGGAATAGTTCAAAAATTCCCCCAAAGGGAATATCGGGATTGAACGAT